GATAGTGCATGCTAGCTAAATCAGGCTCACAAAGACTCATCCCTCAATAATAAATAAATAAATAGAGAAAAAAATCCGTAAATAAAAAGTATTTGAATAACACTAACAACTGAGTTGAACATATCATTAAAGACCTGTATATCTCATCACTGCAGAATTTTTATCTTTTTAAAGTTCATATGGAACACTCACCAATATGCACCATATGATTAAAAAATAAATATTAATAAGTTTCAGAATGAAATTTTAGAGTAAGTTAGCCAAACAAAAGGAAATAATAAATTAGATATAAATAATGGGTCTATGAAAGTGCCACACATGTATAAACTAAATAGCATTTCTAAATTGCCTATGCATCAAAAAATTGTCAATAGAAAGTATTTTTATTCTAATAATAATTGAAATATATCAATATTTATGAACTACACAAAAGTTGCTTAAAAATAAATGTATGCATTTAAATACTCATTAAATATGAATATACATATATATTTGTTAAAATCAAGGCTCTATGTTTCTATCTTGAGAAGGTAGAAAAAGAAGAACATAAACTGAAAGTAAAAGAATGTAATAATAACATCAGAAATCAGTGAAAAGAAAATAGACAACTGAGAAAGCTGATGAAGCCAAGTTGTGATATCATACACATAATAATAATATTTATAAATATCTAGCAAATGGATGAAGAAAAAAGAAGAAACTACTTAAGTAATAAAATAGGGAATAGCAGTATAGACCCTACAGATTAGTGAAAGCGATAATAAAGTAACATTCTGAGACAACTACATCAATAATTTCAACAATTTAGATACCATGACAAGTACTTTTAAAACATTCCATTTTATTTCTCATGCATTATTTACAATAAAAAGTCTGCAGTCCCACATGGAAGAAGCACACCAGCCTGCGTGATCACAAGGTGCCAAAGGGATCAGGTATCAGGCATCAAAGAACAAAAAATCATATCATTGTGTGCTCACCTCCCCTATACATCGCTGAAGACAAATGGGTGTATAAGCAAATGTGGTGAAGAAAGCTGATGGTGCCCGGCTATCAAAAGATATAGCGTCTCGGGTCATAAAGGCTTGAAGGTAAACAAGCAGCCATCTAGCTCAGAAGCAACAAAGCCCACATGGAAGAAGCACACAAGCCTGTGTGATCACAAGGGGTCAAATGGACCAGGTATCCCAGGCATCCTCAGAAAAAAAAATCATATCATTGTAAATGAGGGGGAATGCAGAGTGGGGACCCAAAGCCCATCTGTGGCAATTGGACATCCCCTTATGGAAGAGTCTCGGGGAGAAGACGAGCCAGTCAGGGTGCAGTGTAGCAACAATGAAACACAACTTTCCTCTAGTTCCTAAACGCTTCCTCCCCACCCCACTATCATAATCCCAATTCTACCTTACCTATCTGGCTAGACCAGAGGGTGTACACTGGTACAGATAGGAACTGGAATCCAGGGCGGATGATCCCTTCAGGACCAGTGTGAGAGTGGCAATACCGGGAAGGTGGAGGGAAGGTGGGGTGGAAAGGGGGAACCAA